GTCCTGCATATGTTCTTTGGATTTGCTCTGTAGACCTGTCGCAATTTCGTAATTTTCCCATACTCGGTGAATTTTTTTCCAATTTACCGATAAATTTCCTTTCAACTCCAGCCGCGTGGGAAAAGGCAAATTTGATGGAACATGCACCAACAATGGTTGCATGACCGGTTGTACTACATTCTCATTCATGATTAAATTCACTTCAGTTCAATATTTACTGTAGGTAAAATCACACATTCACAGGAAACGCGGGAGCAGCATCACACAAAAGCTGTAGAGGTTGATGTATGTCAATCATTATAACAACTGTTAGATGTAGTACGTTTCCATTAAATATATGAATATAAATTGCCAAAACAAGTAACCAATATGAACTGGAAATACAGCAAAACCATCAACATTTAGCTAGATTGAGTGATATTTCTTAAATTTGGCATATCAAATTTTAATTTGGTGTGGGTTGTGATTAAAAAATGATTTTGTATCATTTTCTACAGCTCTGTAAAGAAGTTCAAGCATTTCAGTACTTGTTTCAACCAAAATCCACTTCAATGACATATAGAATGTTGATCACCCTGTTGAAACTACAATTTTCTGATGAGGGAAGCAATAGCAAGAAAATGGAAAAGAAAGTGTATGCAGTCTTTTTTTATTCAAATGCAAAACATTTACGTTTAGGTCTATTTCCTCTGCATGGACGTTCAGGCCTTTTGTTTTTTTAAGATATTGTTAGTCATGACTTCTTTTAAAAAATGTTGACAGTTATGATTTGCCCATTCATACTTGTCCTAGCAAAAATATTTGCATCAGTATGAGTAAGGAAACATATTTAGCTCCTTGATGCCTTTTTACTCAGTTACTCACTTTCAAACATTACTTGGGGCAATAATCAATTAGTTGTTGACCAAAATTATGATCATTGAACATGTTATTTGTTTAAAGATTCTGTCACTTATCTTTAAATGATTCACTGGGCATCTGCCTGTTAATTATATCTAAAGCACTTGAATAGATTCCCAAATTAGAAAACATCCAGGCCGATGAAATGGTCAATTCTAGTTGCTGACGACAAGCTGTATCAACTACTCGACTTACTGTTGGACCAATGGTTGGGCGGTCATCAACATCAATATCTGAATTTGAATCAACAAATTCTTCAACACCATAACGTTCCACCTTCACTGTATCGAATCCAACTGGTGCTGCTGTTGTCCAGAAACCCACAAAACACGAGGTGACGATCTAACTGTTCTGAGTCTGTGGCCAGCCCAAGCATTAGCCCATAACTGTAGTTTCTCATTGATTTTTGGGATAAAGGTTTCATGTAAAGCAGCAATATGTTTATCATTTAGGGGATCTAAAACGGCCTTATCTTCCATGTGGTAAAACAGCTGAAAATAGTATGCCAACACCCCAGTATAGACATCCCTCCACAATCGCTCTATGCGTTGATTGTGAACACTCTTTCCAGTGATCATACTTTTATTAGTAATGCCTCGTTTAGGAATAATTACCTCTGCCATCGCAACATTTTCCAATCCTTTATCGGACCTGACCCTTTGCGATAAGCCGTATAACTGAAATAAAACACTGCAACAGTGTTGGAGCTTTATTATTTTCAGTACATTTCAGATACATAATCATGCGGCTGAACTCATCGATGCCTCCTGCTACGATTAGTTTCCACCTTATGAGTTTATGATTTTTGTCAACATGCCAAAGGTGATTTGGTCCTTAAACGTCATAAACACGCCTCTGTACCTTCCTTTTGTTCCTTTCCCCACTCCTGCTTCGTAAAGGCGGTGAATACTCTCCCGAAGTCTGGTACCTTTGTACCAAAACTCCCGTTGAACGCAGCATCGGATCTAGTAGACTTTCACCACAAAATGGAAATTGCTTGATAAGATTTCCAACATGACTGTCCAGCTCTTCTGATGACAAATCCGAAAAATCAAACTTTGAGATGTCAAATTGTTGCATTCTTCTATAACTTGTCCTTTCTGATATTGAAAGTAATTTGGCAATATCGCAAATTTGGAATCCATCATCTATGAGTTTTTCCAATGTAAAATGATTTACATGTATATCAAATTCAGGAGGCCCTGCACATCTTTTGATCGTGAAAGGCTTTGTTGATCCATATTTTACACAATGATTTCGTAGATTAACCATGTTTGGGGGTTTTTCTTACTACAAGTTGATTCATTTCATGTTGACTTAGGCAACACACAATATCAGGGGAACTTTTTTGTTGAATGAAGTTATCAGCCAAGTTTTTTAAGCCAGTCTTTTTCAGAACTTCAAATTTAGGTTCGTTCTTATAGCTAACAGTCATCCCGCTAGGTGGGCTCTTTCACTAAAACTGAAAGAATAATATACCACAGTTAAGGTTGATGATCAACTATTTGAATAATCATTTAAAAGTTATAACGCAGAACAACAACAAAATATAGACTGACTTGATTGATCAGTGCAACATGTACATATACTTCTATCATATTTTATGATAGATAATTGATAATTGATATTTTATGATAGATAAATATAGATAATTGATTTGTTTTCCAGTTTATAATCGTGGATTTCCGATTGAATCCCATCACCATCAGAATTCAATCTAGCACATTTTTAAAACTCAGACTAAATAAAACAAGTCAAATTAATACATTGCATGAAGCATCAGGAAGTATGTCATTTTCGCCTATAATTTGCTTAATAGCCTTAATTAATACATTGATAGGGTGCATTGTAAGTACTTTTTAGAAAATTGATATCTCCCCAATAAATTTTTTAAAAGTATGATTGGGAGGAGCCAGGTCCTACTTTTTTTTTTTTTTTTTTTAAATTGTAAGTTTTTTTTTAATTCAATCGTAANTCAATCGTAAAATTGTGCGTTAAAGACATGAATGGTTTCCCTTTGGTCTTCAATTCACTTAATTTGCATGTCAGAATGGTGAGAATGCGGGTAACTGCATCATCTGGACATAAAAAATCAAAATTATCTTGGGGGAGGCAAAACCCTCACTGCCAGAGGGGGATTATCATGATCCCCTCCCGCTATGCCACTATATATAGTCGCCCGTTCACTGCTTCGCAGTGTTAAGTAAAAAAAAAAAAAATAGGTTAGTTTTCGCTAGGTTTGGCCCCTCCGTTTTAAAAAATGTTGAAACTGGCCTGGTTGCGATGGAAATGTGACAGACAATAATAGTTGAATTTGGGGTGGGAAGAGGCATTACATCCAATTAGAGTGAAATTTCTTTTGTTTCACCATGTCACAAAGTTCCAAATTGGTAGAAATATAATACGTTCACAAAATCTTTCATGGCCGTATTTATGGACTCATGGATAAATAGAAATGATCGAACGCATGTGAACTTACCTTCAAACTGACAGTCTGCTGAGCTCGTCTGCTCTACAGTCAACCTCGTGTTAGGACCGCGCGAGGTGCTTGAATCGGGATCAGGAATGCGCTTGTTTGGCTTCTCCGTTACCATCTTCATAATTTATCTCACCGTAGCGACATGATGCAATACAACGGGCACACGATAACATTGTGAGGGTAACATAACACCTTCACCCATTATAATGACTTCGCGACCCGTTATAATAAGTTTTGTACACCATAACATATATATAACATCTACACCCGTTATAATAATTTTGCGACCCGTTATAATAAGTTTTGTACACCATAACATAACATCTACCCCCTTTATAATGACTTCGCAACCCGTTATAATAAGTTTTGTACACCATAACATAACATCTACACCCGTTATAATGACTTTGCGAACCACTATAATAAGTTGTGTTCACCCTAACATAACATTTACACACGTTATAATGACTTCGCGTTCCGTTACAATAAGTTTTGTTCGCCATAACATAACATCTACACCCGTTATAATGACTTCTCGACCCGCTATAATAAGTTTTGTACACCATAACATAACACCTACACCCGTTATAATGACTTCTCGACCAGCTATAATAAGTTTTGTACACCATAACATAACATCTACACCCGTCATAGTGACTCCGGGACCCGTTATAATTATATTCGTATCCTTAAGACAACTGTGGCGTTCCAAAGTGTTCCTTTCCTCGCATGTTGACGTTGCGTTTTTATATCCCTGTGTTGGCGAGATAGTCGTAATGTCGTTGCATTGATTCTGTGACAATTTTGTCCTTGTAGTTTGACACTGGTAAATTTCGTTGTATTGATGGTATATCATATGCATGCATTTGTGTGTGAACACTGTTTAAACATATTTTATTGTCGTTTTGCAAAATTATATGGAATAAGTTATTAAGCTTATAATAAGTATATCCCTATCGAACAAAACCGTAAATAATGCAGCAAGGTAGCCGACTTATTGTAACAGCGCTGTGGGTAAGCCGACTTATCGTAACAGCGCTGTGGGTAAGCCGACGTATCGTAACAGCGCTGTGGGCAAGCCGACTTATCGTAACAGCGCTGTGGGTAAGCCGACATATCGTAACAGCGCTATGGTATTTTTTTCCTGGAATATTCCTTTCCTTGGTTAAAACAATGGACCCGTGCTAACAACCAGTCGATCTACCATAGAAAGACGATTAGGTATAGTTATAATATAACTGGAAAATGGAAGCAAATTAACTGTCGATTATAAACGGAATATGTCATACTGTGGGCTTGCCCACATTACATTGTATTTACTAAAGAATTTCATTATAACAGAAAATTGGCTAACACGTAGAAGTAGGTACACTATTGTAGATATATTTAAGCGGCACTGTACACTATTTTCTATGTTATCACACATTGTACAACAACTAGGAGTTTATTTTAAAAGTTACCTAACAGTTTTACTTATTCTGTAAACAGGATATATTAACTTTCTTTTACAGTAAACTCTGTAAAATTTGTTGAAATAAAACAACTCTTTTCAAACCAGCACCAATTGAAGACAACAAGACATACTAAAATATAAATAATTTAATTTAATTCATCAGTTTACATAGAAATACATACATTTCATATGCACATCATTTGTTTTGTAATTAACATGAGAACAATATCAGCTACTGATATCTCTCTTTGTCCATCGTGTGTCGGCAGTTCAACTTTTTTACATAACTTATTATAATAAAATGTAATTCCCCGAAAAAGATTACGCAGAAGCTCAGCGCGAATGATCAGTGCAAAATCCCAATCAATTCCTGTTCCTTTGAAGCCGACTTTAAATTCTATAAATCTATTTTGAATTCTAATTCCAACGGAGGGGTTTTGCTGATTTATAATAGAAATGATAGGTCTATAGCGCAAACCAGTTCTTGTTTTGAGTTTTTTTTTAATCCAATACGGCTAATACAGATTCCATCTTGCAAACTATTTTTAACTTCAACTCTAAAAATAATTCTTATTAAATGATTTCACTGAAGTTTAATGGATGCGATCGGTGTATGGTCCAGTCTGATTCATGTTATTGTACAGGTATATATGCATGTATAACAATTTGGGCGGATAATAAGGCATAAAAAATGTAATAGATAATAACCATCCACATATCATGTAAAATAAATAAATACAATAGTTATCAAGTAAGAGAGGCACCTTGGGTAGAAAGTACATTTGAGGTCAAATCATGCAATCTGTTTAAAGCAGTAGCTTGACATGAAGACTGGCGTAGGATTATATACTAGTAGTGCATGCACACTCCCACCCACTGGCTGATGGGTCAGGCAAAGTGATACACTCTCAGGGTCATACAGGTGGAATTCAAACTGTCACATGATACACTCTCAGGGTCATACAGATGGAATTCAAACTGTCACATGTTAATTTTGTTTCGATAAGGGGAAAGTAAGATTTATTCACAGCATATGTCTAAGTATATACGTGCAGTTAGGCGGTACATGCTCATGAATAGTTACTGTTGTATGGTAATTGGAGAGAAATTTTGCAAGAGTCAAGGTTCAGCATTTGAGAGTCGAACACGAGGAGAGAAAGAGGCCACGGAAGGCCCTTGGACGGGGAGGTCAAAGTAGATAAGTGTATCTGCATAATTAAGACATGTGTCTTTAGTCTGTGTGCATTCATCGAATGTTAATTGCTCTTGTATTTCAATGAAAAGAAAGGTTCAAATAAAGATTCTAGCCATCGATGTATGATAATAATAATAAAAACCTGGTTTTGCATGGACAGGTACTAAATTATCGCGGCCACAACGCATTGGTATGAATATATTTCAAGCCCACAACTTGGTTCGGGTGTATTTTGTAACACCGATTTGCATCAAACATAACCGCCATCCTAAAAATAAACTTTATTTTGAACTTGAAATCCAGTTTTACTGAACTGAATTTGGAAATGAAACTTAAACTCAAATTGAATTTGTTCCAAATAAGCAGTTCATTAACCAGCTTTCAGTAATGTTAATTTTAGTACGGTCAGAGTGATTGCATATTATTGGAAGGTGCCATATTTTAGTGCCTTCCTCAAATGTCTTTTCATCGTTTTGTCATTTAATTTGGCTATGAACATGCACGTTAAGGTCCTATGTGCCCCTAGTTTTAAACGAAACAGTGAAAATGAAAAAAATGTTTTTGATGAATTACATTGCCACCGGATACAATTGCGTATTCTATGAAGGGGTGATATCATTTAATATTTTATTGACTCGTTCATATACCTGATCAAATCCCACACGATATATCTCTCATACATTATAATAAGTTTTTTTAATTTTCAAACAATAAACACGTTCTTTCCCGATCGTTTATTTTGATGCCCGCGCAATGTATCCAATCTATTGTCCTGTAAACAACAAAAGACTCTTTGTTCCCACTGAAATCAGAAAATACATGTATGAGCATTAGGCTGAACGTATTCTTAATTTGTTTCTATGTTGTGAATACTGCAATGATTCATTGATCTACGCGAAGTAGATGAAAAAGACTAATGCTATCCCCATTAAGAGAACGGATAGAACATTAGACGTTATTTTCCATCGGCGATTTTCCTCCACGGACAACATATCCTTGCGCTGTATCTGATGGGACGAGAGGCTCTCCCTGTTACGGTCAATTCCACACACCCAATTCACCACGTGGCATGCCCAGCTGGGACAGTTAGTGCCATCTGAAAGATGATTTCAATATGTTATTATTAATGGTCATCATTCTGTTATTTATCTCACCGTAGCTCATAGGACTGATGTTTAAGGATTGACTTGAATATATTTTTTGTGTTATGGAGCTATAACACAAAAAACTGGAGTGTACTCTCATCATCAACCGCTTCGTGGTTTATTTAGAGTACACTCCGTCTTTTTGTGTTATAGCTCCATAACATGAAAAACATATTCAAGTTAATCCTTATAATTTAATCTACTATACACAATTCCTGAGGAAATCCACTTTTATTGATAGACTCTTTTCTCTTAGAAATTATTACGCCGCTCTATCAGCCAATCAAAAGCGACGTTACAAACGGCAATGTCATTTGTTTACGTAATGGGCAAATGAAAATGCTTGTTACAAGCAAGATTAAATTGTATAATTGGAAATAAAAAAATGATAATATGAGCATTTTAATTACGGTTCCGTCAGCTGCTTTTCTATGCGGACTGATAATTGGTGTTTGATGGGTACAGAACCAATGTGATATGAATAAATAGTTAAACAATTTCAAATTGTGAAGATTACGATCTGACTCTACTTTCGCATTTGCATACTTAATTATAACACATTTGTTTCTCTATACCTCTGGTAAAGATAAAGAGGTTAACTAACTCGTGACTTCTCTTACATCTCAAGTATAACCTACTCGATTCAAAACGAGACTGTATCAAGTTAAAACATTGTTTATGCTATAACACCAAGTATATAAAGATGACGTTACGTCATATCCCGATAGTTCAATTCACACTGTAATAAATAACGAGATGAGAGTGAATACAGCTATATAGCAGTATGGGTGAATTACTGATATACCAACCATTGTCTAAGTTGTCTGACTTATCTTCTGGAATGTTCTCGTCAATCTTGTGTGACTTGTCATCTGGGTTGTGTGATTCGACGTTCCCGTTGTTTACGTCGTTTTGCAGCTGCCGGCTTTCCTCGACTTCCAGTAACTCGTGTTCGCATTTGTCAGTACCGTTAGAATGCTTGTCCTTCCGACGTTCCAGCTTTTCCCACGTGGTAATGTCCAAACGCTTCTCCTTACTGTGTTTCGTCCAGAAAGTCAGACGGTATAGCTGTTACCGTATTAATCATACAAAATATAAGTTAGTGTGTGTCATTTTCTAACATCTTTGCTGGATTTCCGTCACTGTTATGGTACACTAAGGTATATATATATATATAGGGGATACTTAATGGTTTCCCGTTGATTACCAATTCATTTCACAGGACTTCTCGACCCGCTATAATAAGTTTTGTACACCATAGCATAACATCTACACCCGTCATAGTGACTCCGGGACCCGTTATAATTATATTCGTATCCTTAAGACACATGTGGCGTTCTATAGTGTTCCTTTGGGCTATCTTTTCCTCGCGTGTTGACGTTGTGTTATCATGTCCCTGTGTTGGCGAGATAGTCGTAATGTCGTTGTATTGATTCTGTGACAATTTTGTCCTTGTGGTATATATGACTCTGTGGTAAATTTCGTTGTATTGATGGTATATCATATGCATGCATTTGTGTGTGAACAGTTTAAACATGATTTATTGCCGTTTTGCAAAATTATTTGGAATAAGTTATTAAGCTTATAATAAGCCGTAAAGAATGCAGCAAGATAGCCGACTTATTGAAACAGCTAGCGCTGTGGGTAAGCAGACTTATCGTAACAGCGCTGTGGGTAAGCCAACTTATCGTAACAGCGCTGTGGGTAATTTTGTGGTATGTCATGCCGTTGGGTTATTCCTCTCCTTAGTTAAAACAATGGACCCGTGCTAACAACCAGTCGATCTACCATAGAAAGACGATTAGATATAGTTATAATCTTACTGGAAAATTGAAGCAAATTAACTGTCTATTACAAACGGAATATATCATACTTTTCCCCTCATTACATTGTATTTACTGAAGAATTTCATTATAACAGAAAAGTGGGTACAATATTGTAGATGTATTTTAGGGACACTGTGCACTATTTTCTATGTTATCACACCTTGTACAACAACTAGGAGTTTATTTTAAAAGTTACCTAACAGTTTTACTTATTCTGTAAACAGGATATATTAATTTTCTTTTACAGTAAATTCTGTAAAATTTGTTGAAATAAAACAGCTCTTTTCAAACCAACACAAATTGAAGACAACAAGCCATACTAAAATATAAATAATTTAATTTAATTCATCAGTTTACATAAAAATACATACATTTCATATGCACATCATTTGTTTTGTAATGACATCTCTCTTTGTCCATCGTGTGTCGGCAGTTCAATTTTTTTACATAACTTATTATAATAAAATGAAATTCCACGCAGAAGCTCAGCGCGAATGATCAGTGCAAAATCCCAATCAATTCCTGTTCCTTTGAAGCCGACTTTAAATTCTATAAATCTATTTTGAATTCTAATTCCATCGGAGGGGTTTTGCTGATTTATAATAGAAATGATAGGTCTATAGCGCAAACCAGTTCTTGTTTTGAGTTTTTTTTAATCCAATACGGCTAAAACAGATTCCATCTTGCAAACTATTTTTAACTTCAACTCTAAAAATAATTCTTATTAAATGATTTCGCTAAAGTTTAATGGATGCGATCGGTGTATGGTCCAGTCTGATTCATGTTATTGTAAAGGTTTATATGCATGTATAACAATTTGGGCGGATAAGAAGGCATAAAAAATGTAATAGATAATTACCATCCACATATCATGTAAAATAAATAAATACAATAGTTATCAGGTAAGAGAGGCACCTTGGGTAGAAAGTACATTTGAGGTCAAATCATGCAATCTGTTTAAAGCAGTAGCTTGACATGAAGACTGGCGTAGGATTATATACTAGTAGTGCATGCACACTCCCACCCACTGGCTGATGGGTCAGACAAAGTGATACACTCTCAGCTTCATACAGGTGGAATTCAAACTGTCACATGATACACTCTCAGGGTCATACAGATGGAATTCAAACTGTCACATGTTAATTTTGTTTCGATAAGGGGAAAGTAAGATTTATTCACAGCATATGTCTAAGTATATACGTGCAGTTAGGCGGTACATGCTCATGAATAGTTACTGTTGTATGGTAATTGGAGAGAAATTTTGCAAGAGTCAAGGTTCAGCATTTGAGAGTCGAACACGAGGAGAGAAAGAGGCCACAGAAGGCCCTTGGACGGGGAGGTCAAAGTAGATAAGCGTATCTGCATAATTAAGACATGTGTCTTTCGTCTGTGTGCATTCATCGAATGTTAATTGCTCTTGTATTTCAATGAAAATGAAGGTTCAAATAAAGATTCTAGCCATCGATGTATGTTAATAATAATAAAAACCTGGTTCTGCATGGACAGGTACTAAATTATCGCGGCCACAACGCATTGGTATGAATATATTTCAAGCCCACAACTTGGTTCGGGTGTATTTTGTAACACCGATTTGCATCAAACATAACCGCCATCCTAAAAATAAACTTTATTTTGAACTTGAAATCCAGTTCTACTGAACTGAATTTGGAAATGAAACTTAAACTCAAATTGAATTTGTTCCAAATAAGCAGTTCATTTAACCAGCTTTCAGTAATGTTAATTTTAGTACGGTCAGAGTGATTGCATATTATTGGAAGGTGCCATATTTTAGTGCCTTCCTCAATGTCTTTTCATCGTTTTGTCATTTAATTTGGCTATGAACATGCACGTTAAGGTCCTATGTGCCCCTAGTTTTAAACGAAACAGTGAAAATGAAAAAAATGTTTTTGATGAATTACATTGCCACCGGATACAATTGCGTATTCTATGAAGGGGTGATATCATTTAATATTTTATTGACTCGTTCATATACCTGATCAAATCCGACACGATATATCTCTCATACATAATAATAAGTTTTTTTAAATTTTCAAACAATAAACACGTTCTTTCCCGATCGCTTATTTTGATGCCCGCGCAATGTATCCAATCTATTGTCCTGTAAACAACAAAAGACTCTTTGTTCCCACTGAAATCAGAAAATACATGTATGAGCATTAGGCTGAACGTATTCTTAATTTGTTTCTATGTTGTGAATACTGCAATGATTCATTGATCTACGCGAAGTAGATGAAAAAGACTAATGCTATCCCCATTAAGAGAACGGATAGAACATTAGACGTTATTTTCCATCGGCGATTTTCCTCCACGGACAACATATCCTTGCGCTGTATCTGATGGGACGAGAGGCTCTCCCTGTTACGGTCAATTCCACACACCCAATTCACCACGTGGCATGCCCAGCTGGGACAGTTAGTGCCATCTGAAAGATGATTTCAATATGTTATTATTAATGGTCATCATTCTGTTATTTATCTCACCGTAGCTCATAGGACTGATGTTTAAGGATTGACTTGAATATATTTTTTGTGTTATGGAGCTATAACACAAAAAACTGGAGTGTACTCTCATCATCAACCGCTTCGTGGTTTATTTAGAGTACACTCCGTCTTTTGTGTTATAGCTCCATAACATGAAAAACATATTCAAGTTAATCCTTATAATTTAATCTACTATACACAATTCCTGAGGAAATCCACTTTTATTGATAGACTCTTTTCTCTTAGAAATTATTACGCCGCTCTATCAGCCAATCAAAAGCGACGTTACAAACGGCAATGTCATTTGTTTACGTAATGGGCAAATGAAAATGCTTGTTACAAGCAAGATTAAATTGTATAATTGGAAATAAAAAAATGATAATATGAGCATTTTAATTACGGTTCCGTCAGCTGCTTTTCTATGCGGACTGATAATTGGTGTTTGATGGGTACAGAACCAATGTGATATGAATAAATAGTTAAACAATTTCAAATTGTGAAGATTACGATCTGACTCTACTTTCGCATTTGCATACTTAATTATAACACATTTGTTTCTCTATACCTCTGGGTAAAGATAAAGAGGTTAACTAACTCGTGACTCCTCTTACATCTCAAGTATAACCTACTCGATTCAAAACGAGACTGTATCAAGTTAAAACATTGTTTATGCTATAACACCAAGTATATAAAGATGACGTTACGTCATATCCCGATAGTTTAATTCACACTGTAATAAATAACGAGATGAGAGTGAATACAGCTATATAGCAGTATGGGTGAATTACTGATATACCAACCATTGTTTGAGTTGTCTGACTTATCTTCTGGAATGTTTTCGTCAATCTTGTGTGACTTGTCATCTGGGTTGTGTGATTCGACGTTCCCGTTGTTTACGTCGTTTTGCAGCTGCCGGCTTTCCTCGACTTCCAGTAACTCGTGTTCGCATTTGTCAGTACCGTTAGAATGCTTGTCCTTCCGACGTTCTAGCTTTTCCCACGTGGTAATGTCCAAACGCTTCTCCTTACTGTGTCTCGTCCAGAAAGTCAGACGGTATAGCTGTTACCGTATTAATCATACAAAATATAAGTTAGTGTGTGTCATTTTCTAACATCTTTGCTGGATTTCCGTCATTGTTATGGTACACTGAGGTAGATATATAAATATATATTATAAAAAAGGGATTAAATGTCCATGTGAAGGAAGTAAATATAGAAAAAATAAGATTAACGACCGACTAAAAAACTAGCTGCTTTCACCCTTCACAGGGCTCTTCAGATTTATTCAAAAGAACAACGTCGTGACGTCACAATTACATGTCATCACACTACAAAAGTAACGTGACGTCATGAAGTATTAAAACCAAGTCTCAACAGGCCACAGTAAAATTTTACGCTAAATTGTCCACCAATCTTGTGTACTTGGTGACGTCATAAATTATATTTAATTCCAACACAAGGACTTCTCAATGTTTTCTTTATATCTATATATATATATATGCAACCTAAACTTGTCCACACTGTTTGAATTACTTCTTTGCCCCATATATATATATATATAGATATAGGGGATACTTATTGGTTTCCCGTTGATTACCATATACATTTCACAGGACAGAACATCATTATTTTTTACAAGTGGGAACCAAGATCAGTGTTCCTGGGGAACAACTTCTTTCCAGATATGACCGGAGCGCCAACCTTGGATGAATTCAAGGCGAGGTTGTCAACCAAACAGAAGTAGATAGACACTGATGTACAATGACCTTTTTTGAAATTGTCATTATTTTATATTTAAGTACAGGCCACACATGTGCAATCAGTGTGATATCCAATAGGACGTTGCTGATTACTGACCAGAACTAGAAGCATGAGAGGGTTTATTTGTGTACCAAAATCGACGAAATGGTCAAATGCTGCACTAGATTTAAAAAAGGTGTTTCCTTATTAGGTACTACGAGGGTGTTATACGCTGTACATATACTCACACAATGAGCAGGTAACGGTTTGGTCAGCAAACTGATGACTATGGCCGTGAAACCAGTGAGGAGGAACAAGAAGCATGAGAAGTAGAGGTAATGGAAGTCCTTGATAACGCTGGGCCGGGGGTCGGGTCCGGGGTCACCACACTTTGGCGTGGTGTAAGAATACTGTACTATAAATCGTACCATCCCCATGGTCATGCCCGTCACCATACCGAAAAAAGCTCCCTGCAATGGCCATAAAACTTCATATTTACATAACTTTTCAAAGCGTACATTTTTTACTTCAGCAATCAACTATTAATGTTATTTGATTTGGTCGGATAAACAAATGAAAAAAAACCAACAATATATTTTTCATTGATGAATTGCTATTCAACTGAAGTCGCGCACTTACCTTCTCGTTGAGGCGTGTCCAGAAAATTCCGAGAAGGAAAATACAGCAAATCGGTGGCTGTGTGAAGCTGGAGACCTCCTGTATGTACACAAACAATTCACTTCCCTCCGACGCCCGGATGACAGGGATCCAAATGATACTTATGACCACCAGCAGAAGCACGGACACCCTGTGTCAGAGAAGGGTGTTACAACATATAGCATTGGATTTTGGACAAGGATTCTCTGTGTTCTGTAATTAATGTATTGTTTTGGATTTCCTGATCTATTAAATGGAAAACCATGTGTCTGATGTAACATAACAGTATTATGTATTGTCTCCGGCTACGGATTATATGTGTATTGATAGAGAAACAATCGAAGTTAAATACACGACATATATTAGAGTTAAAAACCTCCCGAATATTAAATTCAAGGAAGGTAAATCTATGGTCTAATTTCTAGTATATAGGATTGTTTAAACACAGGCACTTATTTGAGAGTAGTCAAATAATCGCTTGAAATGTTAAGTAAAGGGATGCTAGTAGTTGAACTCATGCTGTTGGTACACTGATAGTAGACAGCAAAACTATAATTAAATTTAGTTTTAACTTGTGATCTGTGTTAAGTATTAGATTGCAGTGACATAATTGGTATATAATGTGCTCAAAATGATAATTAAACCATGATTGCTACATCACAAGGTACTGAAATCCCTCATCTTGGAGGATATCCAGAATATTACTTTAAAGAGTCATACATTCTTCTTGGTGTCACTTCTGGGAATACTGAAACCGTGTAAGTTATGTTAGAAGAAAGTTTAACCAGAGGCTGGATGAAATGATGGAAGTTACTCTAAAATAGAGGAATCTTTTTTGGGGGGTGGGGGTTGGAATAACTTTAAAGGACAAGATGTTGCTTACGTAAGAGAAAAATGACTTATTTATATCACTTAATGATAAGGAAATCTTAAGGGGATAGTGAAATGTTTATATTACTTTAGAAGGTAGTGAAATCTCCTAGCTTACTTTGGGGATAGAAACTGTTTTTATTACTTTAGAAGGTAGTAAATCTCGTATGTTACTTTTGGGATATTGAACTGTTTATTTTATTTTAGAAGGTAGTGTAATCTGTATGATACTTTGGGAATAGTGAACTGTTTATATTAATGTTTATATTACTTTAGAAGGTAGTGAAAGCTCGTATGTTCCTTTGGGATAGTGAACTGTTTTTATTACTCTAGAAGGTAGTGACATCTCGTATGTTACTTTTGGGATAGTGATCTGTTTATTTTACTTTAAAAGGAAGTGAAATCTCGTATGTTACTTTCGGGATACTGAACTGTTTTTATTCCTTTAGAAGGTAGTGAAATCTCGAATGTTACTTTGGGATAGTGAACTGTTTATTTTACTTTAAAAGGTAGTGAAATCTCGTATGTTCCTTTGGGATAGTGAACTGTTTTTATTACTCTAGAAGGTAGTGACATCTCGTATGTTACTTTTGGGATAATGATCTGTTTATTTTACGTTAGAAGGTAGTGAAATCTCGTATGATACTTAGGGGATAGTGAAATGTTTATATTACTTTAGAAAGTAGTGAAATCTCGAATGTTACTTTGGGATAGTGAACTGTTTATTTTACTTTAAAAGGTAGTGAAATCTCGTATGTTGCTTTGGGGATAGTGAACTGTTTTTATTACTCTAGAAGGTAGTGACATCTCGTATGTTACTTTTGGGATATTGAACTGTTTATTTTATTTTAGAATGTAGTGTAATCTCGTATGATACTTTTGGAATAGTGAACTGTTTATATTACTTCAGAAGGTAGTGAAATCTTGTCTGTTACTTTGGGATAGTGAACTGTTTATCTTACTTTAGAAGGTAGTGAAATCTCCTAGCTTACTTTGGGGATAGAAACTGTTTTTATTACTTTAGAAGGGAGTGAAATCTCGGATGTTACTTTGGGGATAGGAACTGTTTTTATTACTTTGGAAGGAAGTGAAATCTCGTATGATACTGTGGGGGTAGTGAAATGTTTATATTACTTTAGAAAGTAGTGAAATCTCGAATGTTACTTTGGGATAGTGAACTGTTTATCTTACTTTAGAAGGTAGTGAAATCTCCTAGCTTACTTTGGGGATAGAAACTGTTTTTATTACTTTAGAAGGGAGTGAAATCTCGGATGTTACTTTGGGGATAGTGAACTGTTGTTATTACTTTAGAAGGTAGTGAAAGCTCGTATGTTCCTTTGGGATAGTGAACTGTTTTTATTACTTTAGAAGGTGGTGAAATCTCGTATGTTACTTTTGGGATATTGAACTGTTTATTTTATTTTAGAAGGTAGTGTAATCTCGTATATACTTTGGGAATAGTGAACTGTTTATATTACTTTAGAAGGGAGTGAAATCTCGGATGTTACTTTGGGGATAGGAACTGTTTTTATTACTTTGGAAGGAAGTGAAATCTCGTATGATACTTTGGGGATAGTGAACTGGTTATATTACTTTAGAAGGTAGTGACATCTCGTATGTTACTTTTGGGATAATGATCTGTTTATTTTACGTTAGAAGGTAGTGAAATCTCGTATGCTACTTTGGGGATAGTGAACTGTTTTTATTACTCTAGAAGGTAGTGACATCTCGTATGTTACTTTTGGGATATTGAACTGTTTATTTTATTTTAGAAGGTAGTGTAATCTGTATGATACTTTGGGAATAGTGAACTGTTTATATTACTTTAGAAGGGAGTGAAATCTCGGATGTTACTTTGGGGATAGGAACTGTTTTTATTACTTTGGAAGGAAGTGAAATCTCGTATGATACTGTGGGGGTAGTGAAATGTTTATATTACTTTAGAAAGTAGTGAAATCTCGAATGTTACTTTGGGGATAGTGAACTGTTTTTTTTACTTTAGAAGGTAGTAAAATCTCGTATGTTACTTTTGGGATATTGAACTGTTTATTTTATTTTAGAAGGTAGTGTAATCTGTATGATACTTTGGGAATAGTGAACTGTTTATATTACTTTAGAAGGTAGTGACATCTCGTATGTTACTTTTGGGATAGTGAACTGTTTACTTTATTTTAGAAGGTAGTGTAATCTGTATGATACTTTGGGAATAGTGAACTGTTTATATTACTTTAGAAGGTAGTGAAATCTCGTATGCTACTTTGGGGATAGTGAACTGTTTTTATTACTCTAGAAGGTAGTGACATCTCGTATGTTACTTTTGGGATATTGAACTGTTTATTTTATTTTAGAAGGTAGTGTAATCTGTATGATACTTTGGGAATAGTGAACTGTTTATATTAATGTTTATATTACTTTAGAAGGTAGGGAAATCTCGAATGTTACTTTGGGGATAGTGAACTGTGTATATTACTTTAGAAGGTAGTGAAATATCGTATGATACTTTGGGGATAGTGAAATGTTTATATTACTTTAGAAAGTAGTGAAATCTCGAATGTTACTTTTGGGATACTGAACTGTTTATTTTTCTTTAGAAGGTAGTGAAATCTCGAATGTTACTTTTGGGATAGTGATCTGTTTATTTTACTTTAAAAGGTAGTGAAATCTCGTATGTTACTTTTGGGATAGTGAACTGTTTATTTTATTTTAGAAGGTAGTGTAATCTCGTATGATACTTTGGGAATAGTGAACTGTTTATATTACTTTAGAAGGTAGTGAAATCTCGTATGTTACTTGGGGGATAGTGAACTGTTTTTGTTACTTTAGAAGGTAGTGATATCTCGTATGATACTTTGGGAATAGTGAACTGTTTATATTACTTTAGAAGGTAGTAAAATCTCGTATGTTACTTTGGGGATAGTGAACTGTTTATTTTACTTTAGAAGGTAGTGATATCTCGTATGATACTTTGGGGATAGTGAACTGTTTATATTACTTTAGAAGGTAATGGAATCTCGTATGATACTTTGGGGATAGTGAACTGTTTTTATTACTTTAGAAGGTAGTGCAATCTCGTATGTTACTTTTGGGATAGTGAACTGTTTATTTTACTTTAGAAGGTAGTGAAATCTCGTATGTTACTTTGGGGATAGTGAACTGTTTATTTTACTTTAGAAGATAGCGTAATCTCGGATGCTATTTGGGAGTAGTGAGCCATGTAATCTACAGATTGTTACTTTTAATTTTAAAGAATAATGAAACGGTTGTTGTTAGTGTAAAATTTCAAATATACCAACCTGCCAACAATCATGATCTCGAGTTCAGACGCGGATTTCCTGATCTTTGTCCAAATGTCCATGGCGATGATAGTACTGCTGCTGTTAAAGATTGAGGTAAGGGAGGACATCAGGCCGGCTAACATCACTGCCAACATCATTCCGCGCGCTCCTTAGTGTAGGCAAAGGCAACCAGTGATTAATATTTGTGTAAATCATGTATTGTTTGTTTCTATAAACTGAAGCTAATCAGCCTCAAAACAAAACATGTACAGCTAAGGACCTATGAAAGTCAACATATGAAATTTAATACTGTCCAGTAATTGAGAAATAACAACATTAAACTGTCAAAATTCAAGATGGCTGTCTGGTGGCATTCCTATTTTCTGATAAGTCCAAAAATTCAACATGCATAGCAAGGGACAATGGAGAACCTGAACATTTGTTTTTAAAAAGATCTCACTAGTGTAGTGTCGGCTATCATGTTTTTCGGTCAGTCCCAAAATTAGCTCTGCATAATCAAAATCCATGGGCAACCTTCATACGAAATTTGATAAAGATCTTTCAAGTCATTTCTGAGAAATAGCGCAAACATGCTCTAATTCAAAACATTCAAGATGGTCCCCTTCCAAGCGAGAAATAGTAATGGTTATGCGGTAAATGATGAACGATAAGTCATGGTATGTTACGTGGTAAATAATGAGCGAGAGGTAGTGGTCGATAACTGGTGGTATTAAATGATGAGCGAGAGGTAGTGGTCCATAACTGGTGGCATGGAGTTAACAAGGACCGAGCGATAGTGTTACGTATGCACACTAGTTACAAGAAGTAAATGGTGAGCGAGAGGTGGTGGTATTTCAATATATAACGGCATACGAATAATGGCGAGCGAAAGGCATTACTGTGTTACCAGGTAGCATTAGGTTGATGACGAGCGATGAGTATAAATGTTTACCTGGCGAAATTAAATGGTAAAGAGAGAAGGATATTGATGTTTTACCTAGTGACATTAGGTTGATGAGTAACAAAGGGCATTTATGTTTTACCTGGGGGCATTAGGTTGATGACAAACAAATGACATTTATGTTTAACCTAGTGACATTAGGTTGATGACGAACAAAGGGTATTTATGCTTTACCTGGGGGCATTAGGTTGATGACAAACAAATGGCATTTATGTTTTACCTAGTGACATTAGGTTGATGACGAACAAAGGGCATTTATGTTTTACCTAGTGGCATTAGACTGATGACAAACAAATGGCATTTATGTTTTACCTAGTGACATTAGGTTTATGACGAACAAAGGGCATTTATGTTTTTCCTGGGGGCATTAGGTTGATGACAAACAAATGGCATTTATGTTTTACCTAGTGACATTAGGTTGATGACGAACAAAGGGCATTTTTGTTTTACCTGGGGGCATAAGGTTGATGACGAGCGACGGATAGGCTATGTTACTACAGCCGGTGGAACTGCCACACACCTCCATACAAGTTTCGGGATCGGAACAGGCGACTGTATCTGTCAACATGAAGCATTAATCTGTCAAAATAAATTGGTAAGAGGTGACATTTTCCTATATAACTTTCGTGCTGATGACCATTTGGTACACGTCACATTGAATTATCCGAACATAAATTCACCCGAGTACCTGGTTATCAAATCAAATGTATTCCTATATATTTGTTTAATAATTTGTGTAAATTCATGAATGATATTATCCGTCGAAAAATGAAGAGATAATTGGAGTGCGGAATGCACAAGTGTATTCGGTATGATAACTGAAAGTTTAAGTTTGAATATCAGACAACACTACTCTACGTATTATTCTCAATAAGTCACATAAGTATTGTGTGAGAGCTGTTCATCGGTTGTGTACTGTATAGCGCTTATATATCGCGGGGATTGTTTTGCATTTGACAAATATTACAAGCACAAACGTAATGACGTTATTGCAGCATACTGTTTGCAATATGAAAAACGGGTTCTCAGTTAAATTTGACTCCCTCTGAATAGGTTCCAAATGCAAACAAGCGAAATACGAGAGGAAACCAACCTTTCCTACATCCTCATTGGTTGGATCGTAATCACGTGGAGGTCAGTGATTTGTGATATTGACTTGGAGTGACTATTTTTATACACAGCAGGTTAATAAATTCACTTCATGACGTCAATTCAATTGAAACGTCACAATGCTCTCTGCCGAATGTAGTGCTTTCTCCGTACAATTTTCATACGTTTTATCCTGTTTAATGATTAAAACATTATATAGTATCTATTACAACAATTAAGGATTTTTGTTGAGGTGAATATGTAGTTACATGAACATGATAAAGTGATATTGACCTCAGCTTCGTCTCGGTCAATATCTCTGTCTCATGTTCATACAACCACATATTCACCTCCACATATGTCCATAATTGATCAATATTGACCCCGCAGATTTCAAGTGCTATACAGTATTAACACGCAAATCATCTGAAAGTTTAACGTATCAATTGACAAGGGTTCTAGTGATTCTTGTTATACGGCTTATGACCGCCTTTATTGTTCCGGTCTATTTCCTTGTATGAAAAAAGTGTTCGTGGGAAAAGTTGTTGCTCGTTCTAAACAAGAAATGACACATAGGAATGGTCCATAAAATAGATTAATCACACACAATAGCAGGCACAGTGACACCGATAAATAAGACAGTTAAAAAGAAGGTAATGGAGCACGTTTATATTACATTTACTTATATACGACCGGACATGCGACTGTAGTTTTGCTTGGTGAAATCAGTGAAAAAGAATTTCATTGGCAGTGCGATTATCAAAATGTGTTCACCTACTTGTGCTGTCATGGGAAATGATTTATGATACACGTGGTCTTGCTTCTCATCTGGATGTTTGCTGTCGTTAAACACACATTTTATTTCGCTACATTTGTTAGTGAACTACGTCTTGTAAACCTTTAAGTTTGCCATTAGATTGATAATGTTTTGTACAGTGTTTTTGAGCGGACCCCATTCCTGGCCCATTTTTCTGTTTATCTTTAGACAGAGCTTACCACGACTGACATTAGAAACTTAACAAAAAATGGTCATTTTCAGACTCAAAGACGGTGTTTTGCGCAAAAATCAGAAATGTATTGACCAATATGGACGCTATATAATAAGCGCGGCGATTAAGATTTCACGACCGTGACATTTTCCATTCCTGTAAGTATTATTCTTGTTTTACCAAACTACGGTGTTTTATATGACTTAGGCGATTCGGTAATTCAAGGGCATGCTCTGGACATTGGTGTTTCCTTGATAGATGTCGACGGCTGGCGGACAAACGTACAACACAAAATTTCATACAATTGTGGGTTAATGAAGAGTATAGTGACGTTTTATAGTTACCATCATGATATCCTAGAAAAAAAAATCATATTTCCCTGTGCAATATTAACGTCAATGTTTTTGTTATGTGTCTTCAGCCCAGTTCTTAAGTCGAGGACGCGGTATTACTTGGATTTGACCTAGATATACGAGGCGGATGTCGTTGATGAAGCAAGAGATGCTAAGGTTTCCGGAACACCTGGTCTTATTCTCATTGAACCTGAGAAATATTTAGTTGAAACAGTATTTCATTCAAAAATCAAACAAACTTATTAGTTACACAGGATTTCAGAAGGATGGGGAAAACGATCATTGAGCTTAAATCGATTCCTCGCAAAAAATACATTTACAGGCAAAAGTTTCTTCAAAACCTGGACATCTTAATAACTGAAATATGAATTGAATAAAGATCAGGTTTAACATATAACATATCCACCCACCCACTCATCCATCCATTCATCTCACACATAATTCTTTGCATACTTCACAATATAGTGTATTTAAAATATGACCAAAATTAATAATCCCTTTCAATTCAAAACTGTATGTGTTTAACACAAGGGTTCAACGACAAATGCTGATAAAGTTCAACTTTATTGCAACTCGGGTACAAGGGTTCTCACTCGGTCTAGGTCCTTTACGTGATCTGTCTGTCATAGCTGACTGTCTGCATCGCTCTGAATTAGCCTAGTTAGCGTCTCGTATATCAAATCGCTATGAAATAAACATATACACGTATAAAGTTTAACGTTATCATTCTGCATATCTTTCCTTACGACCTGTCGTACCACCCTATCTGTCGGTCAAGTTCGACTCAATTAGAACGTATGATGTTATAGCATTTATCGCCGCTAAGCTATAGTTTTTCATCTCTGAGAAATATCCGAATCCTGGACAACAGGTATGTTAACCCAAATAAGTGCAATTTGCTCTCCTGACATTTCACTTGTCCTATAACTTATCGAGATCAAATCGTCCAAATAACACTATCTTTTTGTATACGACTTTTCTGGTGGATATTATTTTGTTACATATAGCCGCAGTATGAGTTAACAGTTAACGGTCAAAAATGTGCATTTGAACAAACCCCATCTTTTTTGGTAATCAGGAGAAGTCGATTATAATGCTACAGTGACGGACGCCAGGCCATCGCATAAGCACGCGATAACTTCGTGTCAATTGACTTAAAATCGAACGATTCAATATGCAAGACCGAAAACTGTCTTACTTATCACCAACCGATGGCGTGCCACACGAAGTACATGTCCAAATATTATTCAGAGACACGTTTACTAACAATTGTATTGCTAAATTTTCTAAGGACATGCGAACGAATTACGATAACCTCAGAAGCTTCGGCATTGTTGTATAAACATGACTTTTTTTGTTTTGGAGACATATGTGCTCTGTACTTTAAACCATATATTGGACAGTCAAAGTTCGACCCAAACCGCTGATCTCGTCGAGCTGTAGGCTTTATACATCAATGGTATGTCCAGGTACAGATAGTTGATTTGATATCAGAAAGGCTCAAAGCTGAGTTAGTTGATTCCACATTGAATCATTCACATCACTTGTCTTGCTTGTTGTAAGCAAAATTTATTAATTTCTGCTGATTATTCTGTGTTATAAATTCATGCTTTAAAGTTTGTGCTCATGTATTTTGTAAGTTAACAGATAAAGGACATGTTCAACTGTTCATTGTTCCTCCAAACCAATCAAATTAGTTAACCTCTCCCACCCACCCCAAGCAGTTATATATAAATTGTTTAGATTGTGTCCCATTTTTCAAAGACTGTCCTATATGTTAATTTAGACCTGGTGGTAAAGAATCTTGCAATCCATGACCTATGTGTACTGAGCATATCATTACATGTACGATGTCACTAATGTGTACTTGGCTTATCATAACATATGTATATAACTTAATTGCTAATATGAACGTCGTTTATTTGTATACAACTGTTTGTATATAATTTAGCTACGTACATTTGTATGTGTAGAAAGTTAATTAATACCTGTATATAACTTTGTTATGAATGTATGGTTAAATTTATTATTATATGCAAATAAAAGGAAAAAAAGAATACAACAAAAGAATACCGAAGTAATAACAAAACGATTATTTGAACTCAAAATCGAAAAAACTGGAGCAAAATATGAACACAATAGAGATTCACAAGGAGACCATTGAAGAGGACAAGGAAATTAAGATCTTGTGCTACGAATGGGTAAGCGTTTTCTTTTTCATCGACGACAATCATCCTGTGAATCTAGGTGAAACACAAGTAATGTCACGTCCTTAAGCGAAAACTGGGATCGGGACAACACAACTTCAAAGCATACTAATGACAATAATAGAACAACAACGACTTTCATATTAAACAAAGATATGAAGATATATCATTATTCCAAATAAAATAATGATGGTAAACATAAAACTTGTCCATACTATTCATCTATCAGCATCTGTGGAAACCCTGTGTCGCAAGTTTGTCCGTCAGCAGTCGACATCTGTAACGAAATCTTGATATTCTAAACAGGCTTGTGAATACCGAATCAACTGTGACATGTAAACACCATAGATTTGGAAAACAGAGATGTTACTAACAGGAAAGGGAAAGGTAACAATAGGAAAATCGAAATCGTCCCAACTTTCCGTCTTTGTTGGTCATGTTGTATATAAAGATCGAGGGAAGTAGCTTAAGTAAACGTGACTGTATTGTCCTTTATTTCAAATAAAGAAGAGTATATTCGATCAACATGGTCAATAAATGTCTTGTTATTTAAAGACAGTACACCGGCAATATATTTGATTGTGGAAAATGAAGGACGTGGCTAGGTTTTTGTTACTTGTCCTGCTTATATTCAGCCTTATATAAAAACGAAAACAAGTCGGTCAGAAGAGGGGCAAAGTTTGTTTCCATAGGAATGCAAAGTTTACTGGACAGTCTTGCCACCGTATGCAACAACGTCTTTGACCACCAGAAGATCGCTCATGTTCACAATTGTATTCCCAGTATATATTAGTTTGGCCTTTGTGTTTCCCCAAAATTATGCTGCAAAATAGTTTGAGAGAAAGCTCTTATAATAAGAGAACGATGGCGTTTCTTCGGTTCAGTAGGTAAGAAGAAAATTTCTGACAGAAAAAAAAGATTTTGAGGGAAAAACGTTCAAGATTGATAGAGTTTTTCAGAAACTTCATTACATTTATTAAGGTTTGTAGTATATGTGTCTCAAAGCTGTAACCCTGATTTAATGGTATAAAGAATGATAGTAAGAAATTTGGATAAGGGCTTGGCGGTGTCTTCAATATGAAATTATTTATAAAGAATCAAGTAAAAAGATTGAGATTGTAATACAGAGGTATGATAAGGGAGTATTTTGTCTTTTGAAATAATTGGAAAATGCATGTGTTGAATTTCCTTGGTTATCAAGCAAGCCAATTTGTTTTGCAAACAGCAAATGTAATAACTATTTCAAACGTAGATGAAGTTTAAGATACTTTGTCTGACGAACAAATACATGATGCAGATGTGACCCACCATGAAAGTGAATCCAAGTCGTCATGCTCCTGTTCTACCCGCAGTCAGGCATTATCATCAACCGAATCGATCAGAATCTTGAAATTGAAGTTGACAGTAGGAGGCCAAATACCTAAGACCCTCATGCAATGCTCTCGTTGCTTGCAGTATATAGATATTTAGATCGCCTGTTCTACGTATCCAGCAAGACCATAGTTGTATGGGGATATAGAGCAAGAACATGCTGAAGGAAGTGTTAGTCTTAGGTAATCTAAATGCATCTGTTTTAGCATTTGCTTGTACTATAAAAGCTAGGAAGCAATGGGTTTAAACAGTAAGGATGACTTGGGTAGTTTTGCATCTGAAGTACGATGATATGTTACCTTCGACAGAATTTTGATTTAGGATAAATTAACCACCAATGCGTAGTTACTTTCTAAATAAATTATACAATTCGTAACCTATGTGTAATTGGCATATGTTTACATTCATATACCATAGTTAATAATATGTACTTAAAATATTGAAAATATGGTCGAATGTTCAACTATGACAGGGCTATACAGGGATCAAACGGTATTCTCCATATCTATAGGTGTACTACATACCTGGAAACAGTATTCGAGCAATCATCCCCGGGAATACAAACAGAAACAGAGGTAGTACCTTCAGGAACCCGCAGACTATGGTTCCGGCCTTGGCGTGGTCAATCGACTTGGCTGCTAGAGCTCTTTGTACAATTACCTTGAAGAGTCGGAGGGTAAAGATAGAGAATAAGTAGTTTGATCACTAATTAGTAAAAACACATGAAATGTCACATTGGTGAAGTATAATCCCATATCCTATAAACATTCCACAGGAAAGAACAATGTGAACGTGCAATTTAAACATTGTCAAACTTCTCTAATATTGACAAGCATCGGTTCTTATAACACATTCTTAGTGGCTTCGCTTTGAAAATGTTTGAGAGGAACTACAAGCAATAAATCATCTTTTTTTCATAAAACCCCCAAATTAACTATGTTGCGCTATGATACTCCTTTAAATAAAAGCTGTTTGTCTCTGTCACCTTATAATCGATTTTCAAGTTACATTTTTAATACATATCAGGTTTTTATTGGGTAAAACACATTCAAAATTGGCACATCTTATGCATCAATATATCTGGTCACTGCTATAAAGTATATTGGCGGATTTACCTGGTCGGAGCACCAGTACCATATGGAGTTGATGGACAGACCGATTATTCCAGGCCATGGAAGATCACCTGTGCTCGGACTGCGGAACAAGTGCATGAAATCATCACGTGGAAGTCCACACGTCGAGTTACTCGTTGTTGTATTGCTGGCTACGGCATAGGGATACTTTTCAACCATACCGTTGAATCCTCCGACCTCCACAAAACCTAGAAATATGTTCGACTCGTTATAAAGTGTATTAATGAATGTTTTACTGCATAGCGTCAATAATTTGGAAGTTTGACCCCGTGACCTTGCGCACAGAACACGCATTCGGAAGATTGACGTTGTGACCTTGTTCCAGGAGCACACACTCGGACGTTGAACGCCCATAAATTTGTGTGAAGAACGAACATAGAAGTGAAATTCCATGACTTCGTTCGAGAACAAGCATTTGGAAATATGAACCCATGACCTTAATCCAGGAATACTAACTCGAAAGTTTGATCCTGTAAATTTGTTCAAGAAACACAAACTCTGAGGTTTTACTTCAGGAATTCAAAGTGCTATACAGTGCATTGTTGCACGTGTGCTGAATTGGTAGTAATAGTGTTGCCTCGTTACGAGACGTCTGTAACAAACCTACTGAGAATCATAAGGGCCGTCGCTCCGATGATCATAATGATGGTTTGTATAAAGTCTGTCCATACCACAGCCGTCAGCCCTCCTACAAACCAAAGATGTAATACCTGTCATATACTATTACATTAATAGTACGCATTTTGAGTTTATTAACATGCAGTCTGATTAAAATTATATGTTTCATGGCTTCGTTAACTTCGTACTATGCCTGAACATCTGAGTGTGCCGCGGTCAGGGTCACGTTCAGGTGACCTTTATATTCATAAATACTAATTAAATTTTGACCAATCAGAGACCCTCTTTCAAAAGGGCGCTTGGAGTTGTAACAAATATGGCGGACATTGATGAGAATGATGCGAAAGTTCTGAAGTTATTTGAGATTGATCGTCTGAAACCCGAACAGAAAAAGATATTCGAAGCTTTATTAGAGAAGAAAGACTGTATGGCGGTGTTGCCTGCGCAATTGGGTACGTTTTCCTTGGCGTCTAAGAACGTCAGTTCCCGCCGCCATATTTGTTTCGGAAAACTAATCTGTTCAATACCCCTCGCTAATTATATATCAACCATGACATTCCGATTCGCTGGCAAACAGCACGCCTCTGATTGGTTCATCTAAAGGTCACTTGAACGTGACCCTGACCGCGGCACATTCAGTATTCAGGCGGAGCCATGCAACAGAGGATTTTAAACAGATTGATTAACATGCTATTTTTTATTTTTATTTTTTCCCCGTTGTTTTTTCCTTTGTTTTATTATGTTTTGTAAACATATGTCACATTTCATAAACATTTTGAAATGAATCTGTAAATGTGCTGTGTTGTAAATTAAACAACCTTTTATTGAAGTTTTTTTTGACAATTTACTTATCAATGATAAACATCAAATATATTTTCTTACTGTACGTTTATGACATGTTTATGGACGGACTCTTAAGAATTTTACACAATTGTAAGTGATAATTCCTTTTACCTGTGATTGTAAAAATTGCTGCCACACTCAACAAGAGCAAGATGGACCAATACATGTCCCAGTGTAGCGATTGTTCGATAAAGATGGCGCCAGCATACAGGTCGGCCTTAATAGAAAACAACAAACAAATGACCAATAACTAAACATACATTCTTATTCACAACAGATATGCGAGTGTCCGTCCATTTGCTCTTTCAATGAAGAAATATTAGTCGACTTGAATGGGACAGACATACTTACCGATATTTTGGTGAATATGTACACAAGTAAAGCCAGCACTGCAAGCGACACCTGTATCCTTTGTCCACCAAACCTACACTTCAGATATTCTGGCATTGTGTAAACCTACAACAACACGTATACTGACACAATCAAAACCCCGGATTGATACGATAATGCACCAACCAGAACGTAGGAGACACCCAACCAAAAGGAAGGGCAAAATAATCACCGACAAATCTATCTGCAGCTCACCAGGAACGGTTTCCTTATTACAGAGCATAATTTATATTGTTCAAAAGGACACACCTATGCAGAAAATCATGTTACTGATAAGAACAAACATTTTTTTTTTACAATCGTTTAATTGTCATTTATTTAATTTTTGAGAATTTGAATAAAATATAACCAGAGTCAACATATATCGATTTACGGTTGATGAAGTTTCCTTTTGTCTTGATACTTACTCCGGAAGCTATATATACGGGCAGGAAGATGTATCCCAATAGCAGCATGATGTACAGGGCCTGGTAGATATAAAACGTACAGTAAATAATACAAATCAGCAGGTATACCATCTATACCTGGCTGACCCACAATTTAGTAACATTTTGTCAGCAAAGCATGATTCACATGGTTTCGTAAATATGAAATAAAGTTTGAAAACAACAATATGTGTACATGTATATAATAAACTAGTCCCACAGCATGACAACAGTGTTTGTTGTGGCATTTTTTGAGGAATGCAAAAGAACATGTTCACTTTAAATGCGATATCTATCATAAGACTTGACATGTGATATCAAACAGCAAGGTAGGTGATAAAATTTGCGGAATGAAGACTTACGGTTTGTCAAATAGTTTTGCAATATTACACTGATTTAAACCAATGGACCTTTTTGCTGTTAGGCAATGACGAACTTTAAAAGATATTGCTAAGTCAGTAGTACAAACTATTTGGAAATAAAGGAAGTAAATAGATGATACTTTTTATGATTGATTCTAACTAAACACAACTTTGTTTTTCAAATGTGTATAAGTAACAGTATGTCATCTGATATAACGGCATGTGACATATTTGTGTTTTTTTTTATTCGATCTGATTTTTTTCTCTGTGTGTTACATTTTCTTAATATACGCGACATTGTGTATCGGCGATTTTCAATGGTCAATAGTTCAGCTTGGATAACGTGTCTATGTGTGAGCACAGGCACTCAACGCCTGATTGAGTTGGACAGGAGAGGAGACAAAATTGTGTACATAAACAATACCTCGGCAAAATAAAACACTTCACGACCGGAAATGCCTTTATCGTGAGGCCAAGCGTGGGGTATAAATACGAAAATGTGCAAACAAGTATATCCGGTCTTCAAATAACTTTCATTTCAAAACGATGCAGCTATTTTAGAAACAAAACAGACATACTTCCAGCAGCAATAACCAAATAGTTTACGGAATTGCGTTGTTGTCTTCAAGTTTTGCTTAAATTACTCTTACGCTTTGCTTTGCTTGGACAGTATAAAAACTAATAAGCAATCTTTTGTAATAACTCGAAATCTGCTTTGCTGAATGCTTTTTTGTCCTGTGTCATATTATGCAAAACTAATAAGAAACAGACTGACAGGACATGATTATATTTGGAATATAACTTTCTGACATCCTGACACATGTGTATGTACCACATCGTTTTGAAATAAAAAATATATTTGGAGGTAGTTATTGGCATTTTTTTGTTTTTTTTCCCCTCGTACCTTTACCCCACGCCGGGCCTCATATTCAATACAATTCCGGTTAAGTAATGTAATGTCTTGAGTAAACAAACTTTTTTCTCCTCCTCAATCCCTCTCACCGACTTATCGCTGCAACCCTATAACATCTTTGGTAAATCGTGTATGTACTTACGTTGAGTTCGTAGAGGCCGATAGCTATGCCTGATGCTGCCCCTGAGCCTGCTAACCCCACAAAGTGTATACTTCCTATGTTACTGGCGAACAGGGAAGCCCCAACCTGTGTAAACAATTAAGAAGTCAAAAAAAGGTGTGAAAAAAATAGGCAGATTACACGATTTTCATAGGAAATTCACCTGTTAAAATGGTATTTTTTGCAGTAAATAAGGATATTCGGGTTGTGGTGTGGAGATCAACTTCTGCCACAGAGGTAGAAAAGAGATGAAAAACAAGTTATATATAACACATATGAAAAAGGGATATGTGGTATCTTGCTAAGGGGTTCTTCTTGGTGTTGTTTAAATATGAATCTTCCAAAATGGCAGAAAAAGGAAAAATATAGGAAGACAACAGCTTCATTTGATTGGTACACTACTCTGATTGATATATACATATATTTTATCTGATAAGCGACCCCGTAGGTGTAGACTGTAACTAGATATATTTTGAAAAATAAGCTGACCTTTTCTTTTCTTTATTTCATTTTTTTAAAGTTGTACTTCTTTGTTGCTTGACCCTTTTCGATGGGAAATCGTCCTAATAATTTACGCACTTTACAAAACGGTGTTATAAAGGTATTCATATCTTGAGCGTCAATCAAATTATGTATGACTCGATGTGTTATGAGCTTTTTACGCAGATCTTTATGGCTGTGTTGAAAGTAATGCCTTTCATTTTTTTTTTTACATTTATCATATATATATATATATGATGGCAAATTGCTCGACACATTTTGATGGGAAATCGTCCTTAACGGTCATGTTTTAAGAAAGTTAAACTTATCTAAAATATCAAACATCATATGCTTTCGTTAGTAAAGAGCTATATACACAGGAGTTAAATGATGTGTAGAAAGTGAAAAACCTATAAAACATTTCCTTCTTAATTTTACGGTTTATGGCTGCCGTGGACGACCTACAACAGGCCTTAACATCAATAAAAAAAAATCAGCGTTTGTTCTGTGAAAATAAATATACATGCAAGCGTACAAACAGGGAAAGCTTAAGACTTTAATTAAGGGTATCGATACGGTTAACGGAATTTCGGATAACAAATGAAATTGATTCTGGATAGGTCTCTTTCGAATGCGAATTTTTTATTCATGTTCATTTAAAACCCATGTCAAGAGATAGTGACGACTTGCACACACTTTGCATAATGGTCGCGCGTTTTTTTAATTTAATTATTGTAACTGTCAATAGATTTTCGCCCCATTTATGTTTCTATAAATATTAAACTGATTAGCAAGTTAGAGGTCTATATATATATATACAGAATAAGTACCTGTACAAGACTCTTTTGCTTGTATGACGCTTTTACAATAAACAAAAGTTCTTATCCTCTGTGACGTAGCTGAACCCAATTACAGAAAAATCAACACAATATGGTATTGTGAATATTTTTAGTAGCACAAAACAAAATGAAATATTCTTATATACTTGACTTGTATTTTGACTCTTTTGGCGTCTCTTTGTAATTGTTTTACTTTTTTTCTGTGATATAGCTTTACTCAATAAACGGAACGATTTGTGGAAATATTACCTACAAATGTATCATGTACAGGTTCATTATGTTAATATAAACATATGCTATTTTAATTTTATTGCAAATGTTAGGCTGCGAATGATTGCAATATTCCTTTTTCAGTAATTCAAACCTGTTTGATGTAGTGATAAGGACAATTAACACAGACTTACCAGGACGAAATGCATGTTTCGTCCAGCCAGGAAATAGCCTCCCGCACTGCCACGGTTCTTCCGGGATGTCTGCAGCAGAATAAAACAGGGGTTATATGTCATTTCAAGAGACAGCATTTCATATAGTTGAATAGATATACGCAATTGCAATCGTTTCGTTTTTAAAACTGACCACCCTGGAATAAATATTAAAAGAAGAACAGATACAAAAAAGATTGCTGTATGTGACTTGGTTAAGTTTTTAATGCGCAGTAGACCCCCCTTCTGCATCAATGCGTGCATAAAACACATTAACCATATACCCTTATTCTGAAAGTTTTCAGGAAGACGCAAAGTGTAGCCATAATGTAGCTTGCATCTTAAACACATTACCTGCAGCTATAGCCATAATTCTTTGAACCCATGCTCGATAATGTATGAATGAATGGCCACAGGTATAATACTCCGCTTGCATACACACTTGAAAAACGATACCAACAACTCTTTGACTTATGCTGATAAAATTTGGTTAACACGATTAGTTAAGGCACGAACTCTGTTCTGTTGAGGTTTAAAAGGTTATACACCTCAATGGGCTTTAATTCAAATTTAATAAACATGCTTATCTAAACACACGTGTAAACTTGAAACTTCAATATTTCTATCTCATTGACATACATTTACCTTTCTTTATACTGTGGATTTGGTAGCATAGCAGGTATGCTCTATAAGAATATTGCAAATACCTGTGTGCGCGCACACATACAAGAGGAAACCATATCTCATTACTTACCCTTTAAACAAATATTTTTACAATTGGGTTGAACATACCCTTTAAACAAAAAAAAAAAAAAATTGGGTTTAAAACAGAGTAGGTTATATTCTTCAAGAATGTTGTACGTGCGTGTGCATATTTGAACCGAAAGTAGTCATAGATGTTTATTTATCTGACAAATATTGAACTTATATGAAGCTGTAGCCGGTGCTGCCATATCGGCGCTCACAGCTAGAATTCTACAATTCTAGCACTGCCCAGCCAAGTACTCATTTACAGCTGAGTAGACTGGAACAAGCGGAGTAAAGTATATTGCTAAAAGATACAACACAGTGCTGTGGCGTAACTCGTACCCGCAACCCTTCGGTCACGAGCCCGGCGTCCTACCACTAGACTACCGTGCCTCAACATGTATCACATGTACAGCTGATGTATCTATCTCCTTTATTCTAGCGGCAAATATTGATAAAACAGAATAGGGTATCTGACTAGGTACGTTACACATGCAAACTTAAGGAAGTCATACCTCGTTAAACCTGTGACCACATTTGATGTGAATTTGTCTTTTGGAATAGGTGAATTTCTCGTCAAAATGCTAGTCATATCCCCAATATTTATGTGCAAGTACTATTATGTATCAAAATACGTGTAGCTATAAGGAACACTTAAAACTCTCTATATTTATATCGATGAACTATGAATATGCATGCATGCGTATCACTACCACTAGTACTTTGTATGTTTACCTATCGATACATTAAGCAAACATGTATTTCATGACCACTAGTACTCAATATGCTCATCCGTAGATGCATTTTCCACTACCACTAATGTATCAACGTATCTCATGTATTTAAACTGCCAGTTCCCTCTCTGTCTATATGTGTTGATGTATTAAGCATNGAATGAAATTATGAACATATAAAAAGACTTCCGAATTTGTGTCAAGCGACAAGTCTTCAATTACCAAATAAAAGCAAATCTAAATCACATGGTACCTCTAAACTCAAATCATTTACTCGCTGAAAAAGGATGTTTCTTTCATTACTATAACGGCGACATTGAAAGAAAAAGTGATAAACATTTTCGGGGATATGTGTCGTAAGCTCAACTAAACCTCTTTAATCGTTTAGGTATGATAAAGATAATTCAAACATGATTGACACGTTTATAACAGAGAAACAATGTATGATGCGTATACAATTTATGAGACATTTGACGAAAAAGAAATCCTCAAAATGAGCTCATGCATTTTATGTGCATTAATTGCTTCTTGAACATGTTTTACAGAATGTCTATTTAAATTATTTTATACATTATACGTGGCAGGAAAGGGATGTTTTTTTCGAACCGAATGTTTAAAGGATATACTACATGTACATATTTTAGCATATTACGAAGACAAAAATTTGAGGTATTTTGTGTCCGTATTTTCACTAGTATATATATTTGTACTCTATCGTTATAGTGTGTCCTTATAGAACTGAAGTTTACATTATTTTCCCAGATGTTTCTTTCTAACTGATTGCACGTATGCTGCATACGCGACCTTTGAATGATTACCCACTTTACAGTATAACTTCCTTGAAAACCAAGTACTTTAACTAACATCCGATATTTTATTTGTGTAGATATGAACACACCCCAACTCATAGAATAAATAGAAGATATTATCAATAGCAAGCTTACAAAAATGACACTTACCGTTTGAAGTCATGCATGTGGTAGGTTTTGGAGTTTCTTGTTACTTCACGGTGCTGTGATTAGGTATCCTGTTATTCTCATTGTAGAGGATTTCGTATTCGATCTTATATGTTGAGTGTTATAATAAATTTATTATTTACCTCCGTTTGGTAAGATCAACACAATACCTTATCAACCTTATCAACCGAAGGGCTATCATATTTCCCGAAGCCGATCGTCGATACTTGTATATTATTGGGTAGCAAAGTAAATTTTACGATACATTACAAATGTACGATGACCTTTGATGAACTTTATGTGACCTATATACGACAGTGTTCAGTCATGCGTTAAGGTGTGATGTGTAAGGGGGTTCGTTATATTACCAGGTCACTGCCTGGGATTTGAGATATCTACACCGTCCCTTTAGTACAATATATTAATGTATCGGATTTACTACAACTACATGCCGCCCGGGCATGCTAAAGCAACATGAAGATATTTACAGTGGTTATTTGACCACAACGTATCGTTAACCATACATATGTAAAGGCGCAGCTGCACCCACTGCTGTCAACAGTGTTGTTAGTACCGCAGTGGCGGGCGACAACAATGCGCGGTTGCTGGTCACCACGCCGCTCTGCCAGCTCCGCTACCAACCAACCGCGTCTCTAGATCTGTGTATATGTATACGTGCGAGGCTGTACACCAGGATGGATGGATGGATGACGGGTTTCGCGCCTACATGAATCCGCCCTTACGGGTTTCATCTCACTGACGGAAGTCAGTGTTCTGTCGGCGTGAGGGAAGTTGCCTTCCCTCGGGGGGTGGTTTGGAGTCGTCTATTCTATCCTATCCTTATCTTGTGGTATAATTTGGAGACGACTCCTTGGTCCGAAATGGTGTGTCTTGCTGGATGTTGTATCTGTGATTGTTGCTCCTTACTAATGTTTTTGTGTCGTTGAGGGGACTCGAAATTGGCCAATGTGGCTTATATTAGTGTATATATGTACTTAAAAAAGAAAAAAAATATTTGTCTATTTGTAAAGTGTATTTATTGCATATATTCCTGTTCTTATAGGGAGGTATATATATTATATTTGTTATGTACCTCGGGTCTCTTACTGCCGGTTGAGCCCGACAGTAGGGAAACGTCTCTGCTTCCGTTAGGTACAGTACTTTGTTTCCTTGTCAGATTTGGCCGGAGTTTGAGATTATCCGAGGGGTCCCTATGGTGTATGCAGATATTTACCCTTTATTCTCTGGTGTATGTCTTATTTAAAAAATAAATAAAAAAATAAAATAAAAAAAGGTTATTAGTATTTGGTCTTATGGGGGGTCTTTAAGTTGTTGGGCTTATACTATATTTGTTTTATTGGAATTTTTCTTATATATAAAAAAAGGGATGGGGAGATCACCGGTCGTATCATATCATGGCATTGGTCTAGGAGGAGGGCGTATCGTATCCAAGCTGTCCGTTTTTTATATCCTACTCTATTTTTTTTTTTTTTTTTATTTTGTTCCTATATTTTGGAAGTCCGTCGAATCATCGATAATAAGTGTAATCTAATCTATCCCTATCCTCTGTGTCGGCGTTAACGCGCCTACTCTTTCGACAATACACAGAGGGATTTTTTACGTGCAGGTTGGACCCTCCTACACGGGACACCGTTTATAGTCCCCTCCGCCGGACTGTGTGTTGTTGGTGAGTGGTTAGTATCATGCAGGTGGTAGTTAATCTTGTTTTTGGCGTCCATTCTTGTATCCGTTTCCAGTCTTGCACTTGATAAAAAAAACTTTTCTTCTGTATCAATGTTCTCTTTCTTATACAACTTTCCTTTAGCTTTCTTCTGTAACTGTTCACTTTTCTGACTTTTATAATTATTTGGTGAGTATTAGTATAAGATAGTTGTTGGTGATGAGACGGAATAGGTAGGTGTGACGAGTTGTGCATTGGTGAGAGTTATCAGTAGGTAGAGGAGAGTTGAGGTTGTGCAGATATGGGGTGTTGAGAGCGGGGCGGGGGTTTGTCGGGTTTGTGCATTGGGTTTTTATTTAGAGTTTTATTAGTGCTTATATAGTTATTAGATCGTCAGTTGAAGAGGGGGAGGGGTTATGTTGTTATAATTAGATGTATTTGGTGGCTCAATGGTCGAATAGGGGTTGTTTGAAAGGAAAAAAATAAATAAAATTAAAAATAAAAAAAAATCAGGTTCTAATGGGTATTGGATTGGAATTTATTTTATTGTGAAGGGGGTGTCATCAGGGAGCTATCGGGTTCGAGTGGTTGTTGTAAATATTTCGATCCTACCTGAGCTAGATTCTGTTCCGCTATATATGTTTGAATAAGCCGTGATAGAGGACCTGTTCGCTTTTGTAAGCTCGGTTTTGATTGGTTGTATGTCAAAAGTAGGGGGTGTTTTCTATGAGTTGGTTCGAGTGAATTTTCGATCCTACCTGAGCCGAACTGTGACCATGAAAGGGAGTGTGCCCAGTGGACTGTGGCCAGAAATGCTGTAAGAAATGGGAGATAATCAATCAGTGAGTAACGATGAAGTCAATACAGTGGAANATGTATCACATGTACAGCTGATGTATCTATCTCCTTTATTCTAGCGGCAAATATTGATAAAACAGAATAGGGTATCTGACTAGGTACGTTACACATGCAAACTTAAGGAAGTCATACCTCGTTAAACCTGTGACCACATTTGATGTGAATTTGTCTTTTGGAATAGGTGAATTTCTCGTCAAAATGCTAGTCATATCCCCAATATTTATGTGCAAGTACTATTATGTATCAAAATACGTGTAGCTATAAGGAACACTTAAAACTCTCTATATTTATATCGATGAACTATGAATATGCATGCATGCGTATCACTACCACTAGTACTTTGTATGTTTACCTATCGATACATTAAGCAAACATGTATTTCATGACCACTAGTACTCAATATGCTCATCCGTAGATGCATTTTCCACTACCACTAATGTATCAACGTATCTCATGTATTTAAACTGCCAGTTCCCTCTCTGTCTATATGTGTTGATGTATTAAGCATATGCATGCATCATTAAATTAATTTACTGATGAATAATGTATAAAACTCCAAGGGTGTACCAAGGGAGCTTGAAACACGAATCTTTTGATGAATACGACAAAATAAATTATCGACATAAAAACCATTTTGGGAATTCTGGATAACAAGTCTGAATATCATCTTTATGACGACATGATCATTCTGCTATTCTAACAAGTGTTGCATTTTGAGAACTCGGTCAATCGTGAGGGATTTCTTTAAATTTATGCATAATGTTTTCAACATTTCCCAATTTTAAATTTTAAAGAGACAAATAAGGAAAGTTCACACGAGTTTTTGATTGGGAATATCATTTAATCCGACTTAAGATGATTCTCGATAAACCCAGGAACTCTCTCGTTATATATCGATACATTAAGCACATAAATGCATGCATTTTAGTACAACTAAATGTAAAAGTATCTCCACGGGAAGCATGGGAGAGATATGGGTACCTGTTCATGACTATCACTGGTTTTCACGTGTGTGTGCAAGCGCAGATGCGATGCGATACCTGATGTCGTTTATACAGTATAAGTCATAGGTTACACGAAATTTGTCTATTTCCGCAGGTAAGGTTGTTATGATACATTATACAAGGTTCACATATGTGATTGTGATTCAACAACATATGTGATTCATTAGGGCTACATGTTTCGTTTTCCTGAAAGTTGGAGTTACACAGTAAGGGTATACCCTACTTTCAACACAGTGATGCATTAAGCACACATGTTTCTTTGGTTTTTGTGGTTTTGAACCTTAACACACGTTGATACAGAACAGACTCACAATGCTCGGTTTTGCTTTTATTCCCAAAATTCGATCACATTTAGTTTGAAATTGGAACAATGCAGTGACAAAATATTTTCATTCTTTCCGGTAAATATCTCAGATATATTTCATCGAGCTGGTGAACATTAAATTATTGGGAAAACAAGGAGAGTGTTCATCTTACGAGTTAAAACAGTTGAAACTGGTATTGATGGCAAACAGATGAACGTTTTTTATTATTGACTCTGTAAATGACGAACATGTTACCGAAGTGAGGGAAATTATTGTCTATCATGAATGGTTAGTCAAACGAGACAACATGAAGGCATTCGATTGTAACGTCACAATCAAATCACAAGAATGTGTTCCTTTGTGTTAGTTTTTTAAGAGTAAATGCGGCTTTGACGAATCATCCTACGCAAACTTTTCTTCTGAATAACGTTATATTCAGACAGGTTTACCAGATTTGTTCTACTGTTGATAATGGAACGAGTTGTTGGCTAAGAACCTCAGGGTGATGTGCGCGATCTAAATGTCACACTCGGTATATGAGATTTGTCTTTGTTATGAAAATGAGACAATCGATAGAAATAAGTGACGTATACATTTTATTGTTTCCTCATGTCTAACTGGAAGTTTAGGTTTTACAACACATGACTATCCAAATGACTTTTCGAAGTAAAATTTCCAGAACATAAGGAGAAATTACCTTCAGCCGAGAATTAGCATTATATTTCTGTGAATAAAATTCATGCCTTCATCAAAATGCATATCAATTATTTAACTGGTAATTGATATGGTTTGTAAAATTATATTTCATAAGTTTTGTACACTGAAGTTTTCCCTGCTAAACGTTAAACGTTGAGGATAGACATAACTGATTTAGCCGTTGTCGTATAACGTGCAGGTGGAGTATTGTGCTGGATGTCTTCGGGATGGTATTTCAATAAGGTAGCACTCGAAGTCGACATTAGATCCAAGCTATCGCAAGGAGGCACTTACAACCAACATGTAATATCGATTTCAGCACATGCATGCTGTAGATTACACACATGGACGCCTGTTCTCAAATTACCTTGTTGATATGACACTAAACTCAATAAAAAACAAAACCATAACACATTTTCCCAAGCCAAATGTAAACACTGTGGAATGTTTATAGATAACACACTTTAAGCGTCCCTCCAGGCACTGCTACATTATTTTTTCGATATATTTATAAGTCAGATATTCCGATCGTCTTCGTCATCTCGATCGTTGTTTCATAAATCTCGAAATAATGAAGTGAGAGTTAATCGAACAATCTGTAATAATGAAACTTAAGAGTTAATCGAACAATCTAGAATAGCGAAGTGAGAGCTAATCGAACAATCTAGAATAGTGAAGTGAGAGTTAATCGAACAATCTAGAATAGCGAAGTGAGAGTTAATCGAACAATCTAGAATAGCGAAGTGAGAGTTCATCGAAAAATCTAGAATAACGAAGTAAGAGTTAATGCAACAACTTCTTAAATACATGTCATTCCATAGCATACAGAACATTCTGGAACATTCACCTGTTGTGTATGTGACCAGGTGTTTATACACTGGACAGACCAAATTTGTCCCTACACATACATCCATTGATAAAGGGAAAACCAAGTAAAGCAGTGTACAGGTCAAACATACGTTATATACGTCTAAAATTCGTTCTGCTTGGTGAGTGTTTAACGTAACAAGCTCAGATGTCTCGATCATTTATTAATGTTTATATTTAAATCACTCACATTCAAACCCATGTTCCGAGGGCTTTTTAACAACAACTAAACGACAGAGCTTCGTGTATTTATACTGGCCTATGGCAATATTTGTGTATAACAGTGCTTCTCCAATCCCATACACTACATAGGGAACGTTAAGTCTCCTGTTCTAATAATACATTAAACTTACCCATAATCCAACGAACAGAACTAATATGAAATAGACGATTATGACGATGAAATCCCCATAATGTAGAAGAGTGCCGGAGACTTTGTCCTCTGCCATGCTCCACGTTAGTGCAGTGGGGTCCGACAGGTTACAAGTGTAGGGATCTGATTATGAGGCGTCGTGTATGAACACAGCTGCTTAAAGCGACTGTAACGGTAAAGATCATTGTCTAAAATATAATGAAACGTAACATATTTAGAAAAACAAGCTATAAAACTTATGCTTACAGACACTTTCTCTTAATTACACGAATTGAAAGTGTCTATACGCGCATTTGATAATAATTGGAAAAAATATATAAAATTGTAAATTATCCTCGTGTTATGGGTTTCCGCGCACTTAAAAAGCAGCCGCGATTGCGTACTCATATCGGTAAAAAAAAAAAACTGTTCAAATTACTGATGACCGTCATAGACATGTGTAAAATCAACTAATGGAAACAAAATCTAGCAACATGAAACTGTAGTAATAAAACAAGCATTTTATTTTTCAACAAATTTCAACACAGTTTCGAATTTGATTCAGTGTTCAAAGAGCGACAACTCGAATGACAAAAAGAATTTGGAAGTTAACGGCAAAACATGATTTACATTTCTTTGCAAACGATGTTTACCGATATGAGAATGTCTCCATCGCTCTTCGGTAGTGAGACAAGTTGGCGAGGTGATGTGGCCTCATTTTCATGAAAACTTTCAAAATTCATCACACAACGTGAACAGGTCTTGTCCTTTACAATACATCTATCGATACATGTAGCTGTATACCTTTACCAGGATTGGCTGGGCATTAATATTTACAGTAGTGTTAATTTTGTTCTGCACTCCTGGAATATGTAATGAAAATTAAAATAAAAACACTCAGAAACGCGGTTATAGCTGTTCGATTGATTTCAGGTACCAATATAAACAAGTGTTGATTCTAGAGTGAGGCCTTACGGTACTACCGCGTAGTAATAAAGGTAACAATATAAACAAGTGTTGATTCTAGAGTGAGGCCTTACAGTACTACCGCGTAGTAATAAAGGTAACAATATAANTCCGGAAAAGTTGATAATCTTAAGGAGCTGTTCCTTTATACAAAATTGCACATTCAAATATACCATTCATTGAAAGAACTGGAATTCCTTAGGGATTGATAAACCCTTACATTGTATATATGAAAATGGTTTCAATATCCTGTACCTTTGCCACATCTTGAAAATTAAACTGAAAATGTAGTCCGAAATTCAATATTGTTTCCCGTATTTTGAACAGACACTCCTTACCTTACACTGGACCTGGACAGTAATCCAAAAACACTTGTATCCATTATGAAGGATACACTCAGACTGGGCTATTGAGAATCTTGCCTGGTTATGATTGGTTCTGCAGTGTAGGGTAGGTAAAAAAATTGTCCAGGTGAACATTTTTTACTCAACTTTTCTGTTTTGTTCGAGTTGGGAAGCATGCAGTAAGCCAGTTATTGCATGATTTCTCGTCACTCGGGACTTATTACACCCTCGCTTCGCTCGGGTGTAATAAATCCCTTGTTACTCGAAAACCATGCAATAACCTTTACTCACAGACCACCCTCCGCTGACAGTGTCTATCGGTGTTGATATAGTATGGCCTTATTCAGGCCTTTAATATATCTACACGCTATTTGGGCATATATATTAACTAGCTTTAGTTGGCTTCATATATAAACCTACCGTTGTTAGCTTGGTCTGTATCACATTTGAAAGAGGTGCTGGGTGTTAGAAATGTGCTGATTGATGTATGGGCTTTTTCAGATGTTAGTTGTATGGACCGGGTTGGTGTTGGGGACTATTTGTGGGAGGGAGATGGATAAGTAGTTGGAGGATATTTGGTTGTTGTTGTGTTTACTTTTATGTGTATAAGATCATGTTGCCATATGTTTTAACTTATTATAGATTGTAATTGCTTGGTTAGGATGTTATATTACTCTTATTGGCTGTGTCAGATAAACCGATATNAATTATAGAGTGAGGGCTTACGGTACTACCGCGTAGTGTTGATTCTAGAGTGAGGCCTTACGGTACTACCGCGTAGTATTAAAGGTAAGAATATAAACCAGTGTTGATTCTAGAGTGAGGCCTTACAGTACTACCGCGTAGTATTAAAGGTAACAATATAAACCAGTGTTGATTCTAGAGTGAGGCCTTACAGTACTACCGCGTAGTNTGGTAATACAGTTCTATCCTATTTTATATCCACCGTTTAAGCTTTGAACATTCTAAAAACGGCGTACCGCTTCAGATTGTACATCGCCCCGAGGTGGTACATATATATGTATCCATTTGTAGGAACTCATGTATACATATATATGAGCGGGTAGATATAAGATTGCTGTGGGTTGGCAGACTCGTTCGTAAACGGTACTACCCGCACGTGGTCAGAACACATACGTTGCAGCATTCTTATATCAACCGTAGGTGAAATGTTTTATACTTTAAAGAACCATTGTTTGAATTTGGAAACCCAATGCTCTGTCTTTGATATTTATGTCAGCAGCATCTTAAGCTATGGTGCAGAAATATGGGGGTTTCACAAAGCTCCTGATATAGAGAGAGTTCATTTGAATTTCTGCAAAAAAGTCCTTAGAGTATGTAAATCTACATTCAATGATTTAGTTTATTGTGAATTGGGTAGACTACCATTAATTGTTACAAGAAAGCTAAAAGTATTCAAATATTGGTTGAAGTTGACGAAATCTGATAATTTGATATTAAAAACTTGTTATGATGAATGTGTCAACGTGAATGATCCTTGGATTTGTAACATTAAGAATGAATTAACTGCCCTAGGTCTTGGTTATATTTTTGAATCGAATCTACCATTGGTAAACACTTTTGAAATTATTGAACACAGATTGAAAGATGTTACTAAGCAAAATATGTTGGCAAAGATAGCAGCTTCATCAAAAGGTAGACTATATCAATATCTTATAGACAGTCATAGTATTCAGTTTTATCTCCGTAAACATATTGAAACAAAATACAAATATATGTTAACTAAATTTAGAACGTCGTCTCATCAACTGAATATCGAAAAGGGTAGACACAATAATATCATTCGCAGAAATAGAAACTGTAGCAAATGTGATTTGGGAGACGTCGAGGACGAATTTCATTTCATTTTTGTATGTCCTTTTTATAATGATTTGAGGTTAAAGTATATAAAGAAGTATTATTATAAGAGTCCCTCTGTTTACAAACTTGTCCAACTTTTATCTGTAAATAATGTCAAAGAGTTGTCAAATCTAGGTAAATATTTATATCTAGCCACTAAGCGGCGAAATTGATTAATTAGCTACACGTATTTATAATTTTTGTGCTTTTGTATTATGTTCTTTGTTTAGTTTGCACTTGTATGCTTATAGTCACTCTCCTATAACATATATACATGTACAATATATCATGATTACTTTGTACCTATAAGTCTTAAGACTTTTGGTGAATAAAGAACTTGAACTTGAACTATACTTTAATAAATGTTTTATTGTTTTTTGTAAGTTTAAGTTATTTTGTTTATTATTATGAGTGATTGGATATTGTCATTATTACACTATTAACTGTGTTAGATAAACAGATATTGATTATTAGTTCATTATTTGTTTATCCCGTTATTCCTACCTAACTAATAGGTCCATATAGCACCATTGGCCTCCCTCCTTTACCCGCGCTAACCTAGTGGGGTTTGACGCCGAATGAGCGAGAGGACCTATTTTACGGGTCGTATTATACAGTTTATAGTGGTGATACAGTTCTATCCTATTTTATATCCACCGTTTAAGCTTTGAACATTCTAAAAACGGCGTACCGCTTCAGATTGTACATCGCCCCGAGGTGACACATATATATGTATCCATTTGTAGGAACTCATGTATACATATATATGAGCGGTTAGATACTAAGATTGCTGTGGGTTGGCAGACTCGTTCGTAAACGGAACGATTGATTGATTGATTGATTGATAGGTTTTACGTCCGCTTCACTACCGGATGTATCGGTTATCCAGCAGACGAACGTAAACGGAACTCAGCTCACCTGTATTTATACCCTCTGTAACCCACGTGATCGGATCCATCTGTATCTCCATCACGTTTTACGTGGATGTAATTGTAGCAAGACTCTTTTCGCCTAGATCTACTTTCGCTTTCCATTACAAAGGCTACATGGTTAATCCTCACCAGTGAACGACTTGCGCGTCCAACTGTTACAAAATGTTTATTTTTTTTTCAGCGACATTGAACCGAAACCATAAGTGAAAACGATTATCTACAATTGGTTTGTATCATGTTCGCTGACAATAGAGTGTACTACTTGATGGTTAGTGAAATGAGTCTCAATTCTACAGTCATAGCTACCCCGGCCATTACCCTCTCCACGGGCTAATATTTCTCCCACTAGCAGACAAATATGTAGTCAAAAAGGAATTTGACAGAGCCACTAATTTTTCGGATGATGAGTATTTTCAATTATGCTAGACTTTTACAACGCTTTACGGACCGTGAGAACTGTAAATGTAGATAAAACAACTGAGCACGTGTTGCTGAACATATAACATTACAACAAATTAAGAATATACTAATTATATGTATATTTACCAGTGCAGCAAGTAACACTTCTATGACTCTCATACAACACTTACCAGGGAAACAGGTGATCTCACAGTGGCGGGCAGGGGCGGAGTGAAGTGGGACGACAGGGGCGACAAATCTAAGGGAGAGATGACGCATGCGCCACCCAAACACTTACACAAATCCAGTTTACAGCACGTGCATATATTTTCACTAGTAGGTGATATTTCCTACCATGTATTCCCGGTTATATCACCCCCCGCTCTCTGAGGTGGAACCCGGCTTTTTCTGTTTAGTCCTTTAAAATTCTACAACAATTACTAAATTATGCAAACATTTTGTTAGCAATCATGGAAACTAATATGTAGCATAATATGCTAATGAATATTCATGAGGGTGATGCGATCGATATGATGATATATATACCCATCATCTTTACACAACAGCGAGCTAAAGTCTGAGGCTTAAACAAAAAACTGCACCTTATTCAGTATGTATGAAATCCGAACGCAATTTCAAAGATCAATATATCTGATCAATGTAACATTTTAT